AGAACACAAGTCCTAACTCAGGCTCAACTTTGATGCCCTTCAGAAACAGAAAGAGCCCTTATGCCCACTAAAGGCCTTTGCTCAGCCCTTCTCCTCATCCACGCTTTCTAAAGTGATTTGAAATGGGTAAAAATAAGCAATGTCACGCAAATCCATGGGGAGAATAATCCAAGTTCAATTATTTGTGAAAACAGGATGGATATTGTTCACCAATGGATGCAGCCAGCAACATAGGTAGAAACCATATGGACGTTGACCCGCTCCTTACTTTGCCATGAATATATCTCCATGTATCAACCACAAGAAAGCAAACCAAACTGCAAAATCAATGTCTTTTGACTATTTTGCATGGGCCAATCATCCAATGAAAAAATGGAGTGCTTCACTAGCAGCTCTCCAAAAGTTGAAGAGCTTAGGCTAGGAAAGCTGAGTTGCGTGTTGATGATTTCATGTTTGTGGAATGAAGTGGGAATGAGAACAATGAGCTAAAGTTGAATGATAGCAAGATGTTTGTGTGGGATAGAATAAAATGCTTGACAATTTAGTCAAAATATTAGTATTTCCGATGATGTGTCTTCCAGATTCCTGAAATGCTACAAATTATTTTTATGTTTCTTTGCAGGAAGATAAAGTTCTTGCCCCACATCTTAGGTCACAGTTCAGCAAGGTATTTAAGCATGTCACTAACTTTATTCAGATGATCAAAAGCATCCACTTGTTTTCCATTTGCTGAACCAGAACCTGCAAATACACATGCAGAGATATTGTTCCACTGAACTCAAATGCAAAGTGACTTGCATGAATTTGTGTTGTCAAGGTTGGAACTGCATAAAGAACAGTATTTAGCTCTTACAGTATATTTTTATTACAATAAATTTCTAAATGATTTGCAGAGTAGGTTAGTATCATTCCCGTTCTATGAAAACAGAGAAAAGCACTTGTTTCTAAGCAGATCATTGGCAGAGACAGGATTAGATCCCATGTTTTCTGAACAGCAGAACAATGAACTATCTGCAAGGTCATGCAACTCTCTTTTTATGCTTAAATATCTTTTCAGTCTTATCTCCCCTTACTTTATGGTGGTTAGATGAACTACTGTAGTAAAAACAGAAAGTGCAGGCAGAGAATGGCATGCAAGAAATATGAAAAGAGTAAGGCTCAATTGTTACTTGAATGTATATACCTAAGTTTTCTTGTGAGGCTTGATCCAAAGAATGACTCCCTACTAAACATGACATTACTGTAAAGTGAAGAAAAGTTATTAAGATGAGACGTTAATGATTACCCATGAAAAGCTCTATGAAAAAGAATGGGAACAGCCTTTCATTTGTAGTTAATGTAGTGTGCAGATCAGAGTGGCTTTTTCCCCCTTCCTGTTTTGGGCAGATGCACTAAGAAGAAATGCTGACAGTGAAATTTTCCACCTTGCAAAGTATGATTTTATTTTCATTATGCTGTTACTACTGGCAATACAAAAATGCAGCACGCTATATGTATTCTTTCATACTCACATAATAGGAAAGACTACTACTGATTCTGCCACTTAAAAAAAATCAAACCAACTTTCCAAAGGCAGAGAAATATTATTTATCTTGTAGTGATAAGGAAACAGGGATAAATTACTTTTCTGCAATCACATAATAATAGATCTAGGAATGAACATGCTCCCTGTCTGTTTCTATAGTTGGACAATGCTACTTAGGAGCAAGACCCTAGAAGAAAGTTCAAAATCCTTTGCTAAAGTGCCTGTACATAGAAGTTATTCAAAATTCTTACACTAGTCAAAATCAGTGGAACAGCTGCTAACAACAGCACGGAAAAATGAGGCTCACAATTCCTTCCTCAAACAGAGACATAAGAAGTTCATTCCAAATAAACAATATGTCCATCAAGAAGAGGTCCATCTTAAAGGCTGGGAAATGTAGGTCAAGCACCCAAATGTTTGCTGAATGATTTTCTGCATTCCAGCAGAAATGAGCATTAATACATCTTTCTCATAAATCTTCCTTCTTGGGAACTGAACAGATGAAAAGGCTTTGCAATACATGCAGAAGAGCAATCGCTATCTGAGATTTCATGTGCGGGTAGTTTAAGTCATTGATTAAGGAAGAAAAATCTAGTGGCATCTCTCCTATAAAGTCAGTTAACTCCCCACCAGTGAGCAATGAATAGCACAGCCCCAGTTCCTCCTGGTTTGGGGGTCTATACGAGGATGTTAACAGAGCAGCATCATATGTACCACTTCACTGCTTACAAGACCCAGCCTACCATCTAGCTCAAGGGTAGTCCAATGTGCTCTTCATCATATCTCACATCTTCACAGTTTTAGTTTAAACGGAGCTTCAATAAAAAGCCTTGGGCTCCTGCCAAACTTTAATCAGCTTTCTACTATCACAAGTCCTTCCCTGCAGTCTTGCCTTGGGATCCAACCTCTGAGACAGACTCTTCCACTCTGTTGTCTTCCCTGTGTTTTTCCCAAATGGTCTAAGAACAAGGAGCGGCCCTTAGCTGTGACGTTGTCATGATGACAGCTCCTGCTTCCAAGGAGAGATCCTAGAAGGTTCTGTCACAGAGTTTGACTCTACTACTGTGGAGTTCCTAAATCGCTTTTGCACCACAGAATAGAAACCGGGCCACTTAAAGTGCTACCCATCCTCAAATTTTCACAGAGCCAGGCCTTATTTTTAGTTTATTAACTAGTTAGTTTTTCTGACCCTTCTGGGAATTCTTTAGACCAATTCTTCTCCCTCCTTTATCAACAACTGTTCAAACAATGCAGTTTATTACTAAAGCTTTCCCATTAAGTACTTAACTGATGCAAGAACCTGGAGACTGAGTGCACTTATGGGCTGTTCTCTCCACTAGGACCGCATTCCCTTATTGCTCATTTATTTCAATACAGACTTAAACAGAAACTGCAGTGGAGTACGAGTAATACTTTCTGTACTAAATCACTGTAGGAGGAAGAGGAAATTTTTTTTTTTTTTATCTCATCTGTAAATAAGAGTTTGAGAGATAGGGGGTGGGACTGTCAAAACAACCAGATTTCATGGCTCAGTCCCATGTCTACAGAAGTCAGTGGATGCTCCCACAAGTACCATCATTTTTCTATTTATCTGGAGGGTTTCCAATCCCTCTTACAGAATGCTTATTTCCATAAACACATTCCTG